CTGCCTTACTGCATGCCTTTGCCACCTTGCGCTGGATGGTGAATTCCAGCAGGCGATGATCACTGTCGCCCAGGTGGTTGAGCACCTGCAGCCCCCTCACCAGGTCATCACCCGTGGCCAGCACTAGGTCCAACAAGGCGTCCCCCCTGGTGGGGCTGTGCACCTCCTGGGTTAGATGGAGGTCCTGCACTCTGTCTAAAAACCTACACAAGCGTTCAGACCTGGCTGACTGCTCTTCCCAGCAGATGTCCGGGAATTTCAGGTCTCCCATGATTACCACTTAAACCAGTTTATGTGTAATGTCTGTCCCTAAAGCTAGGTGGTGTTCCCTGCACTTACCCTGATCAGGGAAATGGGTGGACGGCTTTGCCCTGCTGCTCCTGTCCCCTTTGCACTAGTCTGGGAGGGGGTGGGAGCAGCAGGGCAATGCCCACTACCCATTCCCTTGAATGGGTCTCATGGTCTGAGGGGTGGGCCACACTGTTCAGCCAGCTTGACTCCCAGTGCCCCAGAGCAGAGTGGGAGAGCAGCCATTTCTTACCTCCCCAGCCTGTTCTCTAGAATGGTGTCCTAGTTTGGGGAAGGCACAGAAAGCAAAGGAGGGGTGGAGGCTTCAGGCTAAATGCCTGTATGCTTCCTCTCCCAGAAAAAAAATTCCACCAATAGAAATCTCTCAGAAGTGAACTCCTGTTTCTGGCTTCGGTCTATCCCAACCATGCAGCTGATGTAATGAAAAATTTTGGCCTCTTATAATGAAAAAAGCTTTTCTTCTTTAAAATGATCTTGTTAGCAGTCAAATGGATGGATGGTGAGAGTGCAAGTCTGGTGTTTTGTTTTGTTCTTGTTTTGTTTCAAGTGTTTGAACACTGTAGTGGTATTTTAACTTTTTGCTGTCATGCAAACCAGATTTCATTAAATCAAAAATAGTCCCTCCATTGCAGTTCCAGGTACTGCAGCTATGTAGTGTGAATATGACTGGAAGCGAATTTGGCTTTGGATTGCTGCTAATAAGCTGCACTTTGTGCATATCTTACAGCACAGGAAGCCTGTATAGAATGCATATTGCTGTTTGTGGCAGTAACTGCACGCTTTCAGTTCTACTGTGTCTGCACACACATTATTAATTGGATTGGACAGTAATTCCCTATATATTGTCAAACTATATCCTTAAAAGCACGAGAGATGTGACGTGACAGTTGAAAATCGAATGCTCCAGATATTTAAAATAAGTCATGCAAAAGTAAACTCACATCTTAAGCAAATTCATAGACTGTCAAGTCAACAGTTCATGGAAAAAAATGTTAAAAGAAAGCTTATGATAACACTGGTCTGTCTCAGAATGGTGGCAGATTCCATAAGATATCTAGAACTGCCAAAAGGATTCTTTGCTTATTTTTGCTGTAGCTCTCCATAATTTTTATAGGGTTTTATGAACCACATAGGACTGGAGCAAGCTGTGCAAGATTTTTAGATATGCAGTCTTATTATGGAAGTCTCCTAAACTATTATGCTAATCTTTTGCACCTCAGTGGCTGGTTGCCATTCTCCTTTTACATCTAACTTTTCAAGTGAAGACTGTTTTTATCCACTCTTATGCTATGGATTTGTATGCACTTTTTCAGTAAAAGAATAAATAAACTCAGTCCATCAATTTCATTTGGCAATGAAAGTGTACTTAAAATAATTCATTATATATTGTACATTGTATATAGCTCAACCTGAGCTCATGTATTTGGAACATTTGCCTTGAATAGTTTAAGGTCTGAATTCCTACGCTTGTAAATCCTAGTCCTGCACTGACTGAATCTAAAAATAGTGGTTAATTTTATT